GCAGACCCGTTACAGAGACCCAGACAGGAACCTTATGAAGTCCAGCAAGGGGAAAGTTCTGTCCCTGGAAGCGAGGGATTGCTGGCAGGTATACTGGCTAGGGCTTGATGGGTTTGGGAGCAATTGTGCTTAAAAGGACCTGTGGGTCCTTGTGGGCAGCGAGCTAAACATGAGCCAGTCTTGCACCCTGGCATCTAACGCAGCCAACAGCATCCTGGGCTGTTGTGGATGGGATATAGATTTTGTTTAAAAGAAAGACATTGATAAACTGGAGCAAGTTCTGTGGCTGTGGGAGCTGGAGCATATGCCCTGTGAGGAGATGCTGAGGGACATGGGCTTATCTAGCCTGGAGAAGAAACAGCTTTGGGGGGACCTTCTAAATACATGTAAGAAGGTTATCCAGAAGACAGAGCCAGGCTCTTCACAGTGGTGCCTGGTGGAGAGGACAGGAGAGAGCAGATGGGACTTGAAAAGCAAGTTTCAGGCTGGGTATAAGGAAAATTTTTGTCGCTATAAGGGCAGTCAAGCAGTGTAGCAGGTTGCTCATGAGCTTTGTGTGGCCTCTGTCTGTGGAGGTTTTCAAGACCTGACTGGCCAAAAGCCTTGAACAGCCTGCTCTGACCCCAGAGGTGGCCCTGCTTTGAACTGGAAATCAGAGTAGAGATTTTCTGAGGTCCCTCCCAGCCCGAGTGGCTCTGCGACCCTGACCTAGGACAAAGCTTGGAGCCAAAACATAACGTATTTTTTCCTTATTTTTAGATACATGGTTGTATGCAAATGGTTTAGCCTCTTTTGTGCATTGGTTACCTGTCTGTAAAGTGGAGGTAATGCTACTTGTCTACCTCAGTGTTTCAATATAAGATATATGAAAGGCTATGATATTTTGGATGCTTTGGCAAAGTAGGTATAGAGAGCAAAGCAGTTAGGCCTTTAAGGTCTGCCTAAGAAGCTGATAGAGAGATATAGTGCATCTTCTCAAGCACTAACTGTGAAGTCTTGGGAAGGTGTTTTCTGTGGGTTTACTTTCATGAAACTCCACCATATATATTTTCTGTGTGTTGCCAAAGAAGTCGATCACCTTAAAAGGCAATCAGCTGCAAAATGTGTCAGTATTAGCAACGGCTCTGACAGCAGGGTCTCTATATGCTTCTGCCAATTATGGTAACATTTATCATATTTTCCTAGTTAATGTTTTTCTTCCTGCTATGGTTGTTGTTTCTGTGGGCTTCTCGACAGAGGGGAAGCAGACTTAGTTGCCTTTGCATCAGGAGCACTGTACCCAGTTCTGCCCTGTTCGTGAAATGTACAGCTAATTGGTGGATAAACTGAGAAGTCTTTTTAGTAAGAGATTTGCAAGGTTATTTTCACGCATAAATAAGGAATCAACTTCTTTTAGAAAGAAAAAACCTAGTATTTGTTGGACTAATTGCCAAGAATGACTTTCATTTTGTAGCATTTCAACTTCCAAAGAGTCTTTGACATGTCATTAGAATGGACAGGGATGTATACATAGAAGTTTTAAGAAGTCTTGGGAGTTTAAGTTTAGAATATTCTGTAATACCTTTTTTAACTGTTTCTTCTTTTTCTTCTCCCTCTCCACCTGCCTCTTCTTCTGCAGGAAATAAAGAAGGACATGAAGAAAGAAAATACTGCCAACAAACCACCAGAGAAGCCTATAAATGAAGTTTCCAATGGAAGCCCTTTATTGTTGTCTGAGACAATTATTAGAACCCACAAAAAAGGTATGGTATATAGAAGCTTAAATGCGGATTAAATTCAGACCTTTAAAAGAACAAAATTTAAACCTCGCTTGTTTCTAGAAATATAACCAGAGCCTATTTAACTGTAAAGACATAGCAGGAATAAAAAGGAAAAAATATGTCTCATTGTCCTCTTAGACTGGCATATGGATGCATGTATTATGTCTAATAATTCCACATTAATTTGCACAGACATCCCTTTCTTCTTAAAGAAATCTTTCCTTGATACATTTAATTAAGGAAAGCTGTATGTGGAGATTACTAAAGCTTATTAAAGTAAGGAACTGACAGCTTGCATATATGGAGGTTTTTGCACAGCGGTGTCAGTCCACATTCACATACTCAAGTTCTATCTGGGACAGACTGGTTATTGACAGAGAACTTCAAAAAGAAAAATTAAAAAAAACCAGAAACACCCCCCCCCCCCCAAAAAAAAAAAAAAAAAAAAGTGGAAAACATAAAGCTTAACACATTAGTTTCCTGGGAAGTGTCTGTCACTGTCTTCTGTTTCAGACTGGAATGTGTACTCTTCATGTCTGGCTTGATTCCCAATGCAGATTCCTATGTAGAGTTTTGAGTTGCTAAAATGAAAGCCTCCAGATCTTCTGTTTTCCCTAGCTCCCAGTCCTGCTCTCAGAAATATCAGAACAAAACAAAAAATTGGCAATATGAAAGATGGATTTTTCTTTAGGTTATGTTTATGCTCCCATTTGTTTGTGAGAGGACAAATGGCTATGTGGAAGAGATGGGCTGTATTTTTTCCTGGAGAATTCACTGGATGGTTTCTTGCTTGCTGTTTTGTACAGAATAATCTGCTGTGATTAATCATTGCTGTAATGTAATTTCCATTTTGGCATGTCTTCTGTACTGTGAGGACTATGCATACGGAGGTTTCCCCTTCTGTGTTATCAGCGAATATTGTATTTGAGCTGCAGTTTGACTAGAGGCCTTAAACCTAAGGTTTGCAACTGCAAGTGAGGAAGATTTAATAATTTCTGCAAAATGTATGACTTCCTTTAGAATATGAGGGGGAGTAATCTCCACCTCTTTTGCAAGGATTGATGTCCTCTGAAGGAAAAAAATTGGAAATAAATCTTGGAAAGCTTTGTCTTTTGAGTTTGCAATGTCATCTTGGATCTGGAGATGCGTCCAGCATTTCTGGTTTGGGTCATAGGTTTTTCAAGCAACAGCAGAATGAAATTACGAAGAACTATTCTTTTTCATGGCTGCCATACAGAACCATATGAGTAGTTGGGAAATTATCTAGGGACCGACTCTGTTCCATATTGCTTCAGCTGCTGTTTGGAGAAGGATAATTGTTGTGGCAGATGCATAGATTCGGTTCAGTCACAAGGGGATAACACTCCAAATATGATACTTAGAGCACAGTCTTTCTCCTTCTCTTTCTTCCCTCTGGCTCAGAAGCTTTAAAGGATTCAGGAGAGAAAGTTTTCTTTTTCTGTCTGTAGCTGGAGAATACAAAACTTCGTATTTATTGAAAAGAGAGAAGCCAAGACTGACATGAAGATCTGTAGCTTGAGGAAGGGATTAGGTTTAGAAATAGCAGATTTCATACTAGGATGTTTTTGCATTGGATTTCGTTGGTGGGGATTGCACTTCTTATGGCTACCTCTACATAGTGTCAGGGTTAGTAAATTTTTCATTTTGGCTGCTTCTCCACAGCTGTTTCCATTGCTGCAGAGCAAGCAGTTGCAGCATGCTGTACTCCAGCAGGACAGATGAGGATGCATGGAACATAACAAGGCCAAGAGAGCTTCCCCTCTTGTTTTCTGGGGTCTATTTGAGCATGGTGTTAAAGTAGCCTTGTTTAAGTGAGAACAGCTAAACAAGTAGTTACTGTTCTGTTCAGTAATAAAGAGTCTTCTAAGATCTATGTGGCAAATCTCCTTGTGGAAAGTGTTGCAATATTTTACTGAAGAGGGAGCCCTAAATGCCACAGGGATTATTTTCTTTAAGTGTTCTTGTGCTGTGATTTTTTATTAAACCCTGCCTCAGTCTGTTTACTGATCACAGAATGTGGCCTGACCTGAAAGAGGTTACTTTTTGGTTTTTTTCCTCCTTGTTGTTAGGAGGTGAGGAGGAGGGGGATGCATCTAAAGGTCTTTAGGCATTGTTCAGCGGTAAAAATAGTAGACAATATTATTTATTTATTTGCTTGGGCAATGTAATCTTACTGCTTGTAACTTCAGAGCAGATCCAGTGACGTGGGAGTGAAGAATTCTGTGCTGCTGCATTGTTTCTGTTACCAAGATGATGATAAGTGCTTTTCTACTGCTGTGGTGTTACATTGCATTGTTTTACCTCTTAACTTGCTTGGCCTAATTTAAGTGGCAGCACTTTAGCAGGTATTTACATTTTGAGCAGAAGAATCTTGCCTCTTGAGCTTCTGGCTTGTAGAGAGTTTTTCCTTGAGGAATATTGATGAGTGTCCAACATTGATATTGAAGGAAAATAGCTAAATTATCTGGAATAAACATCTAAGTAGCTAAGAGGAAAAGAATGGATTTCTGAATAAAAAAGATATTTAGGATCCAACTTCATATCTTGTTTGTTCATGCTAATTATTTCTAAGCACTATATTGAAATTAGGGGCTCTTATAATAAAATCAGTGTAAATTGAAATGTCTCTTGTAAAGGCTTATTTCATCAAATAAGTAATGGACATTCCTGCGTTGGATTACATATGTAATCTAGGAACAGTTTAAAGTTGGTGTAATGCAACCTATAGTAGCCTACCTGAGTTAGTACTTCCATTAGATAGTGAGGGTGGCAACTGATTGCAGTATTATTAGTTGTAGGTCACTATCTGTGAATCATTCAGGTTTTTGTCATAAAGACCAGAAGAAGATGGAAGGATTTGGTTTTGTCATCTTTTCACTGGGGCAGTAAAAGCTTTTTCTCATCCTTTAATGTTTGTTGCGGACCACAAATAATAGTGACCTAACAGAACAAACGGTAGAAATGACTGCTGCGGTCGACATAATTGAGGAAACTCTGTTGCACTTGGCCTTGATGTATTTGTGAGAGTTACTATTTGTAGTATTTCCTCTCTTACAGGGTTGTAAGTATGTTCTATAAGTTAGAGCTACACCTGAGAAATAAAGGATTTATTTTCTAATTCTGCCTCAGAGATGCTGTGTAACTTTTGCTAAATCACTTAAACTCTGTTGGCCAAATTACCACAGTTTAATTGCCAAGGTCAGGTATCTTAATAGGTATTGATTTTTCAGATAGAGGGGTTTTTTTCTGATTTATTGCTGTGGCATATCCAAATTTATTCATAGCTTCCAGGTATTTCAAGTGTCTGTGCCTCATTTTGCCAAAACCTGGGTTTATACCTGCCTCATAAAGATGTTGAGATCTGTTACAGCATCAGCAGCGATGACAATTAACATCTAGGCAACCGAGCATTTTTATACAACATTCCAGTGATTTCATGCTTCACCTCTGAAAGGCTCAAAAAAGGACCATTTGCTCAAGCATAGAGATGGGGTTAGGGAAACATAAAGTCCTTGTGCTTTCCCTTACAGTTCCCAGGGCTGCAGCAGCTCTAGGCTAGTTCTGATGGGTGCTTCAGGTGCTGCATTATCAGCCCCTGTCTAGGGAAAAAGGCTGAGGCACTGAACGACATTTCTGAAGCGGTATGAATGTCAGCTGTAGTTGGCTTGCATATCCTTTGCCAGAACCGGGGAGGGATCATTCTTTTGTTTCTTCCTACAGTTTATATGCCAAGAAAATCCTTTCCTTGCCAGGTGTGGGTCTTTTAGTGTATCTTTTCACTGCTCCAGAATTTTTGGTTGGCATATAGAACTATTGTTATAAAACCTCTGTAAAGCTGACTTAAAAAAAAAATTTTAAAAAATCCTTTTTTCTGCTTAGAATTGATATTGTGCACCCTGGTAATAACAGGAAGGGAAAGCCTTTTCTTCCCTGAGAACATTTTCAGACTGTTTGAAAAAAACAAAATTATTGCTATCGTTACTATTATTTAATAACATAAGAAAATTACAGTCAGGTCTTGGAACAGGAAAACACTGAAAGATATTTTTTTTTCTTTTCCAAGATGGTAAAATTCCATCTTTTCTAAGTTAACTTTCAAAGTCTATAAACAGATCTGAAATCGTACAACTGTTTCAGATCTGTTCTAAATTCAGTGCAATCTTCATCCAGGTATAAAGGGATATGATGGAAACTTGCACGCAGTAAGCTTCACTGTTAAATGGCTATGGCTTATTTTAGGACCATTTTGTTCTGATTTTTGAGTATCCTATTTTTAAGTATCCTATTTGTTACCCTGTTTTGTGTGTCTGGGAATAGGAGCCCACTTGCATAGGCCAAATTGCAAAACTGGAGTTGATAGGCTGCATTTTGTAAGTAAACCAATGAAAATTGTTATACAAGTAAACATACTTTAGGAAAAGATATGTTGCCTTGCCAGATGTATTTGTTTTATATAAACTATAAATGCAGTCTGCATTGAGGTTATTCAAGCCAGCAAATCTGGAACAGCTCATCCTGTGTTACATGTTCTTAATCAGCGCCAAACACTCAAAGCAAGGAAATGTTTTTTTCTAGTTCTCTTGAGAATGATTTGTTTTACCTCCACCCTGTGTTTAAATAATAAAGAGAATTTGCATCCTATCCTAAAAGGGAGAGTTTTGTGAAAGTAGGTTTGATGACACAATACGTTTATGTTTGAATAAATAACAAGTCTGTTGTATGCAAAACTGAGATTTAACTCTGTTTTTGTAAATTGGAGAAAGGGGAAGGGTATTTCACAAGATAAATGCTTCATCATTTGATTCAATAGTTGGATGATTATTTGGATACAAAAAGACACTCCATTTATTAAACAGACAAGCTGATGGCAACTCAGCATTATGAGTGTATTGGCTCTGAGTTTTGTATTAAGTAATTTTTATATTAATGTGTTTAGCTATGATTCTAGTCATATTTTTCAA